TCAATATGATCCTTGTGAGGAGTTGGCACTATGTGTGATCTCTATGAGTTCTACTTTCTTGTGTCTAACATGCTGATATAATGTCTGTAAATAAGAATATTCACATATGAGCATAGTTTATCTTTTTCTGAGGATTGGTGATCGTGTCTGCTATGAACTGTCCTCTTGTTTTACTCTTACCTATCTTCTTCCATGGCTCCTGATTTATTGATTGCATGCAATTGCTATTGTTAGAGTTGGATCTTTATGTATCCATGTTAATCCTTGCAGCTGCCGGCAAAGCCCTCCCTAATGGTAGCACTCCTGGTCCTGGATTGCACACTCCATTGAACACAGGTCAAATTTTGCTACTCGACCCTTTAGATAGTTATGAACATGTTAACTTGCCGGAGTTTTTTTATGCTGCATATTGAGCTCCATTTTCCATCAATTTATGAGTTTGGTCCTATTAATAACGCAAGTATAATTAGATCGCAGTGGACAGTGAAAAAGATGCTTAGCATTTAGCTTGCATTTTACCTGTTCGTACATACATGGTTTACTATTCTGGTTGTTTGGAGGGAGGTTTGATCAATGCCACCTTATTAAATGCATTGAAATACTATTCCTAAGAGGGTGCTTGGATACGTTTTAGTCCCATGACTAAAAGTAGTGGGACTAAAACTTGCTAGCCTCACCCATGCTTGGATACAAATACTAAATAGACTAAAATGTGTTAATGAGCATTTATTATCCTCCAAACCCTCCAATCCCGAACTCGCATGTGTTAAAGGAGAGGAGTTAAATGAGGAGAGAGAGGACTAATCCACATTTTAGTAGGGTTCCCCTGACTAAATTTTTTTAGTCTCAAGACTAGTTCTAGTCTCTCTTTAGTCAGGGGTGATTGGAACTTTAGCCTCTAAAAGAGACTAGTTTTAGTCAGACTAAAAATAGTCCCTTGGATCCAAGCATGGCCTAAACCATGTGATAGTAACTGCTTTTCTGCCTGTTTGCCCTTCCCCAATAAAAAATAATCTTGTGAAACTGCAGTTACTGGAGTCATTGATATCGACAACGAGGAGGATGGAAATGGTCCTAGTCATCACAATGGTGGTGACGAACAAGACATCATCGATCTGGTCAGTGATGACGATGGGGATGTTCACATGGAGCAGTGTGAGCCAGAACGGGCAAGATGTGATGGACCAGAAACCGTCAATGGGATCGCTGCGCATGCACATAATGGACCGGAAGCCGTCAATGGGGTCACCATACCTACAGTCCGTGCTTCCGATGATCGGGATGGAAATACAGGGCCTGTATGCAGTACGTCACAAGCCATGGCGCGTGATCCCGTAACCGTGAATGGGACAAGCAAGTCAGATCAAGGGTGGCTGTACAGGGATCTTCAGGGGCGAGAGCATGGGCCATACCCAATGGCTCAAATGCGGGAGTGGCAGCAAAGTGGGTACTTCCCTGAGGGCTTCCGCGTGTGGAGAGCAGGGAAATCAAGGCGGGGGAGAGGCTCCATCTTGCTGATAGATGCCATGCGGCTGCACTAGTGCAGTGGCCTCTTTGCGTTGCATTCTGCTTGGAAAGCCTTGGGGAGTACAATTTTGTTCGTTGCTTTGCTCAACTGTAAGTCTGTAACTGAGCCGGGCACCATTATAGTTGATATGTTATTGTGGATATTTGGTTTGGTTAGGAGATGGTCCAGAGTGGAAAACTCTCTTGCTGTACAGCCAACTCCTTGCTCCTCTCCATTCCAGCAAGATAGTCATTTTTAGCAGATTCTGATGCAGTTAATTCCCATAGCATTGAAATTCAGATTTGTTGTGTTGTCAGTGTAGATTGGATCCTGACAGCAATAGTTTGGGCCTATTTGATTCATGCCCGTACTTTGTTGAATAAAAGCTGGTAAACTTTTGACTTTTCATGGCAATTGTTTTGCTTATCACTGTTATTGTAAATCTATGGCTTGACATAATTTTTGTGAAAGTTAGTTATGACCAAGTAACTACACCGCAGCCTAGTTTTCCTATGCCATACCGCTGAGAATTCCTGGATTCCGCTTCGAAATGTGATCGGATAGTATATAGATAGATAATGAGCTGCTGGTTTTGCCCATGCTTGCGCTGGCACCCGTTGATCTTCAGTCGTCAGTGCAGGAGTGCCGAGAAAGCGACGTCGCATCTGTTTGCCATCAGATAAGTACCCGATGAGCTGAGATGCATCTTTAGCGCGGTTAGCGCCCATTCCGGCCCGCCCAAAGGGAAGGGCTGCGACTTTTAGAAGATAAACCACTCAGCAGAAAGCCTCACATGATTCACTCTTTTAGCAACCACTCCATCCATTTCTAAATATAAACCCCTTTTAGAGATTTCAATACGAGCTACATACAGATGTATATAGATGTATTTTAGAGTGTGAATTCATTCATTTTGCTCCATCTGTAGTTCATATTGGAATCTCTAAAAATATTTATATTTACAAACTGAGGAAGTACCAGTCTAGCAAACTTATGCCATGCATAAAGCAGGAAACATCTCAAATCATGCATCTTCTGCGGTCTAGATTTTACACCGATATGGATAACCACTACACCGGGGTGATATGAATATGTACATACATAATTTTTTAAAGCGTCAATATGGGGATATGTTCAACTGTTTAATAATAATGCTAATAATAATAATAATAACAACAACAATGCTGACAACAACAACAACAACAACAACAACAACAACAACAACAACAACAACAACAATAATAATAAATGTTTGTTCCGTTAATTCATATAATGGAACCTGGCCCCCATCTAGGAGGCGTATAATAATAATAATAATGAATATGTTATCAATTAAGCATCGAGCTATTTAGCGTGTATTTGGTCCATTCTCTTCTGTCTTCTTATCCTTGATTCCAACTAAACCCAATAACCAACGGCCAAACAAACACAAAAGTTCAATTAGAGTTCTTGCAAATAAAAAGTTCAGTTGGAGAGAAAAAGGGAGGAGTAAATCACCGGCTTGCCATTAGGTAGAAATCTATAGGAGAGTGGTGGGAAGAGGGAGCGGGAGCACCATAGAAAGAAGCCCGCCACCGGCCTACCAATGGCACTACTAGAGCCTAAGAGGGGGAGGCGTGTAGCCCACCGCCAACTTGCCGCCAGCTGATGAATTTGGCGGCGCTGCGAATAGTGTGTACAAAAGAGAGAAATAGGATCGGAAGTTGGAGTTTAGACACTGGGATCATCGGGACAATCCATGGTTAACATATGCCCCTTTGGGCTTTGAGTGCGCTAGCCGTATCAAGGGAATATAAAAAAACGTATCTACATTAAATTAAATGTCTATATTTATCGATACTCCATTGATACGTATTGGGACATATCAACAACAAATTAGTATCAGATATGGTATCCAATATAGATGTGATGGTTAGTGGTAGTAACGGTATTTTTGAGTAGTCAAGCGAATATTTCTAATGGAGATTAGGCTCCATGGAGCCTGGAATTTGGCAAATTCAAAAATTGAATTTTAGAGTTTTTAAAAATCTTTCCTACTCATAAAGATTGAAGTTGGTGGCGAATTCACATATGGGTCCAACATCTTTTTCAAATAAACGAATACACGCATCCTACATGTGAAATTGAAGGAAATATGCCCTAGAGGCAATAAATTTATATTTCCTTATATCATGATAAATGTTTATTATTCATACTTGAATTGTATTAACCGGAAACTTAATACATGTGTGAATACATAGACAAAACATAGTGTCCGTAGTATGCCTCTACTTGACTAGCTCGTTAACCAAAGATGGTTATGTTTCCTAACCATAGACATGTGTTGTCATTTGATGAACGGGGTCACATCATTAGGAGAATGATGTGATGGACAAGACCCATCCGTTAGCTTAGCATTATGATCATTACAGTTTCATTGCTCCTGCTTTCTTCATGACTTATACATGTTCCTCTGACTATAAGATTATGCAACTCCCGAATACCGGGGAACACCTTGTGTGCTATCAAACGTCACAACGTAACTGGGTGATTATAAAGATGCTCTACAGGTGTCTCCGAAGGTGTGTTTGTTGGGTTGGCATAGATCGAGATTAGGATTTGCCATTCCATGTATCGGAAAGGTATCTCTGGGCCCTCTCGGTAATGCTCATCACTATAAGCCTTACAAGCAATGTGACTAATGGGTTAGTTGCGGGATGAAGCATTACAGAACGAGTAAAGAGACTTGCCGGTTACGAGATTGAACTAGGTATGATGATACCGACGATCGAATATCGGGCAAGTAACATACCGATGACAAAGGGAACAATGTATGTTGTTATGCGGTTTGACCGATAAAGATCTTCGTAGAATATGTAGGAGTCAATATGAGCATCCAGGTTCCGCTATTGGTTATTGGTCGGAGATGTGTCTCGATCATGTCTACATAGTTCTCGAACCCGTAGGATCCGCATGCTTAACGTTCGATGATGATATGTATTATGAGTTATGTGTTTTGATGACCGAAGGTTGTTCGGAGTCCCGGATGAGATCACAGATGTGACGAGAAGTCTCGAAATGGTCGAGACATAAAGATTGATATATTGGAAGGCTATGTTTGGACACCGGAAAGGTTTCAGATGAGTTCAAGCATTTTACGGAGTACCGGGAGGTTACCTGAACCCCCCGTGGAGTTGTTGGGCCTTAGTGGGCTTTAGTGGGAAGAGGAGGCAACAGCCAGGAGGTGCCCCCCCCAAGCCCAGTCCGAATTGGACAAGGGGTTGGGGGTGCGACCCCCTCTCCCTTCCTTTCCCCTTTCCCGTGAGGTGGAATCCTACTAGGACTTGGAGTCCTAGTAGGACTCCCCTCTCTCGGCGTGCCCTATAGGGGCCGGCCGACCTCCCCCTTCCTCCTTTATATACGGGGGCGGGGGCACCCTAGAACACACAAGTTTCTCTTAACCGTGTGTGGTGCCCCCCTCGACAGTTACACACCTCGATCATACCATCATAGTGCTTAGGTGAAGCCCTGCGCCGGTAACATCACCATCACCATCGCCACGCCGTTGTGCTGATGGAACTCACCCTCGTCCTCAACTGGATCAAGAGCACGGGGGACGTCATCGAGCTAAACGTGTGCTGAACGCGGAGGTGCCATATGTTTGGTACTTGGATCAATTGGATCGCGAAGACGTTCGACTACATCAACCGCGTTACTAAATGCTTCCGCTTTCGGTCTACGAGGGTACATGGACACACTATCCCCTCTCGTTGCTATGCATCACATAGATAGATCTTGCGTGATTGTAGGATTTTTTTTGAAATACTACGTTACCCAACAGTGGCATCCGAGCCAGGTCTATGCGTAGATGTGATATGCACGAGTAGAACACAAAGAGTTGTGGGCGATAATAGTCATACTGCTTACCACGAATGTCTTACTTTGATTCGGCGGTATTGTTGGATGATGCGGCCCGGACCGACATTACATGATCGCGTTCATGAGACTGGTTCTACCGACGTGCTTTGCACATAGGTGGCTGGCGGGTGTCTGTTTCTCCAACTTTAGTTGAATCGAGTTTGACTACGACCGATTCTTGTTGAAGGTTAAAACAACACACTTGACGAAAAATCATTGTGGTTTTGATGCATAGGTAAGAACGGTTCTTGCTAGATGCCCGTAGCAGCCATGTAAAATTTGCAACAACAAAGTAGAGGAGGTCTAACTTGTTTTTGCAGGGCTTGCTGTGATGTGATATGGTCAAGACATAATGAGATATAAATTGTTGTATGAGATGATCATGTTTTGTAACAAAGTTCTCGGCAACTGGCAGGAGCCATATGGTTGTCACTTTATTGTATGCAATGCAATCACCATGTAATTTCTTTACTTTATCACTAAGCGGTGGCGATAGTCGTAGAAGCAATAGTTGGCGAGACGACAACGATGCTATGATGGAGATCAAGGTGTCGCGCCGGTGATGATGGAGATCATGACGATGCTTTGGTGATGGAGATCATGAGCACAAGACGACGATGTCCATATCATGTCACATATTTTGATTGCATGTGATGTTTTTCATTTATGCATCTTATTTTTCTTAGTACAACGGTAGCATTATAAGATGATCCCATACTAAATATCAAGGTATTAGTGTTCTACCTGAGTATGCACCATTGCTACAGTTCGTCATGCCGAGACACCACGTGATGATCGGGTGTGATAAGCTCTATGTTCACATACAACCGGTGCAAGCCAGTTTTGCACACGCAGAATACTCGGGTTAAACTTGACGAGCCTAGCATATGCAGATATGACATCGGAACACTGAAACCGAAAGGTCGAACGTGAATCATATAGTAGATATGATCAACATAGTGATGTTCACCATTGAAAACTACTCCATCTCACGTGATGATCGGACATGGTTTAGTTGTTTTGGATCACGTGATCATTTAGATGACTAGAGGGATGTCTATCTAAGTGGGAGTTCTTAAGTAATATGATTAATTAAACTTTAATTTATCATGAACTTAGTCCTGATAGTATTTTGTA